CTGGCAACATATAAGGAGTCCACGTATTTCGGTACACACGTCATTGTTGACAGCTATAACTTTTAAGTAGTGAAGGAAATTGTCTACCTAGAATCCAGCATAAACACTACCAACAACATCAGCCTTGAGATCAAGCGAAGAATAACTCTTGCCAACAGGTGCTACTTTGGGCTCGGTAGGCAATTAAAAAGCAGAGCGCTCTCTCGACGAACAAAAATCGCGCTCTACAAATCTCTCATCATACCTGTCCTTTTATATGGCGCAGAAACTTGAACGATATCGAACAAAGATGAGAAGGCTTTGGAGGCTTTCGAGAGAACTTTTCCACGCAAGATCTGCGGCCCTATTTTCATGGACGACGCGTATCGGAGAAGATGGAATGACGAACTGTATGAGCTTTTTAACGACATGGACATAGTAAAGCGCATAAAAATATAGCGATTACGCTGGCTTGGTTGTATGCATGGATGGTGGCGCTCCGGTGAAAAGATCCTGCGACTCGGCACCCATTGGGTAAACAAAAAAAGCAAGGGCACCCACGAACGCAGTGGAAGGATGAAGTGCAGAATGAACTGTATGCGCTCGGGATAACCAACTGACGCAAATTCGAACAGGAGAGAAGCAGTTGGAGAAGCTTTTTGGTCTCGGCCCAAACCGGCAAACGGTTGTAGTGCCAAATAGAAAGAAATTCAAAAATTTACGAAGGGTTAACCTATCTTTTAATGTTGTCATACGGACTTGGTACAGACGAAGTTACTCGTTTAAATTATAGAGAAGTCTAATAAGAGTATTCATCTAATCGCGTACATGCCTTGTAAACTCTGTAAACCAAGTGTACTGAAGGAAATAACAGATCGAACGAAGGACAGCCAAATGGGTAAAACACGCTAATAGTGTATTATAATTGAAGTTTAACACTAGAATTTCTTTTTGTTGGTGGCCGTAAGGACCTACTAATGGTCTATGGGAGATCATGCGAAACAGCCTAGTTAACCTTACCTAACATCCCGAAATTTTTTATCTCAAAGCTTTGGTTAGGCCATATGAAGTGATTTTTATGAACAACGTCTGATATTTATTTTGAATCGTGAAACAAATTTTGAATTACGGAGTCTAAAAATGGTACATATCTCCTTTCATACTCGTAGAGAGCGACACAGCAAAGGTTTTTTGGCTAAATATTCTTTAAAATTTCATTTCAAAATATCCGAGAGTGCTACTACCTTTTAACGCTGTGGTTCATTCCTCCCTACAATATGATTTTTGTTAAACAAATATTTGCTGGCAGATTTTGCTCTTTGTTCAGTTTTTACCATAAAAATTGCAGTTAAGTTAGATTTTTATGTTCATTATTCTTTCTCGGTATGTAGCTGTGAAGTTTTTGTTTTCGTTTTTTCCAAACGTTTTTCTTCTCTTCCCCACTCAATGCCTCTAGTCGCTGCAGTTGTGGCAATTGAATTCGAATGAGTAAAATTTCTTAAAATTTTCTTTTACATACATACATACATACCTACATTCGCACAAAAGTATTTTCAGACAATTTTGTTGTTTTAATTTTGGTCAAAAATTGTTTCTTCTAAGTCATTTTTCATTGTTTGTGAAAATAAGGCAATTAGTGTGTGTAGATATGTGTGTTTGTTTGGATGTACATACAAACATTTATGTGGCTATTCGTATATTCACTTTTCATTCGTTTCGCTATTTCGCAAGCATTTCCTTCTTGTTTTTACTACATTTGAAGTTATATCAGCAAGTTTGTTTACTTTTAATTTGTTTCAGTATTTAGTGTGAATTGTATTATGCTTTGTTTTAGCATTTGAGTGCAATGGCCCCACAATATACAAAGTATTCAATACATACATACATACATACATATGTATAAGCTTCAAGCGGTATTTATTTTCGGTTGGAGTTAATTGCTTGTTGAAAATACTATTTTAATGATTCGAGTAGAGTAAATAATTTGATATTTATTTAAAATTTGATAGGAAGTATTTTCTAAGATTATCTATTGCAAGTCCCCAAATTGAAAACTGAAATGAGAATTAATGAATGTGTATACATACGTTTATGTCCCTATGTGTGTTCGGAGAGAAAAAGCTTTCGGTTGCCGAATTTCTGAAGAGTTCTGCAGAGATTTAGCTATACATGTTGTTCAACGCTTTCTTCCTGGCACATTTAGCCCTTCTTAGAAAAAGTTAAAATAAAATGCCAGTTAGAGGGTTTGACTTTTCTACAAACTGCTCTTGTGGATAAGTTCACTTAAAGTTAGAATTATGTTAGATTTTATTTGCCGTACTTCATAATAAGATTGTTAAATTGGTTTGTAAGATATACGTGATTAGGTGTAACCACTTTTTGTTTTAAGCTGAATTACGGTAAATTGAAAATATGTATCTCGAAAACGTATCCATAGAATAAAAAATCAACTCGATTTTTGGAATCAGCGGGCGATTCTACATGGAAAATGGATAGGAGAAAAATTACAAAAAAATTTCAAGTATTTTAACCAAAATTTCAAACCTTTTTCACAGAATTGTTAGATTTTTTTTGAGTATACCGAGTAGCCGTCGGCAAAAAAATATTAAAAATCAGCTTTAAACCTGCACTTTATTGGACTTAAATTTAAGGGGCTACAAAACTATGTACTCAAAAAAATCTACAAATTCAGATTAAATACTCAAAATTTTAATGAAAATTTGCTAAATTTTTTTCTAAGCTCTGCATAAAATTTGAAAGCTTGATTTATATGATTTTCCTTAAAGCATAACCCATATATATTTTGATAAGAAAATAACAAAAAAATGTTAACATTAAAATTCGTGCAAACATTTAAAAAAAAAATTACTATGTACTCATCATTGCTCCCCACTGTATATTATGTATACATACAGCCTTGGTCAAAAGTATTGGGCACACCAATATACATATGTGTGATGATTTAAGATTTCATTTTCTTTATTTAATGTTTAATATTTTTTTTAAAGCCTAGCTCACTGCAGAACATATGCTGAAAATATAAAACTTCTGCAAATTTTCACCAAAATTTCAAACTTTTTATTCAGTATCTTTAGGAAAAATTCGGTATGCAGTTTTGTAGCCTATCAAATTTTTGTTAATAAATAGCAAGGTTCAAGTTGCTCGAAAATCCCGTTAATTTTTTATGATTTTTTTCGCTGACGCTGTCATGCATTTTCTTTCAAAAAAAGTATGCTCGAATTTTTTCATATGGAGGAATATGCACCTCACAAACTTGAAACTTGCACTTTATTATACCGAAATTTAATGAGCTACAATACGGCATACCAAATTTTTTTCTAAAGATCCTGAATAAAGTGTTTGAAATTTTGGTGAAAAGTTGAAGAATTTTTTTATTTTCTGCACAAAGTTTGGAATTTGGATTTAAATATTCTTTGTTAGACAGTGAGCTGGGCTTAAAAAAATATTAAACATAAAATAAACAAAAAAAAAAATATTAAAAAAACATCATATATTGGAGTGTACAACAATAATATAATCATATAATCTTTTCTAACCTCAGTCTACCTCAGCTCACCTAGTCCAATAAATTATTCATGTGTAACACACTATTTTAAATGGTGGAGATTGATGAACTTTTTTTTTATATATTTCAACATTTGACATGCCGCTGCAGCAGTCATTCGTGGGGTTTGGTTCTTTCAAAATTGTTTCGCACACTTACGACTCTCATCTAACCATAAAGTAAGAGAATAAATCATGTGTATAACATAAGCTTGAATAATTTGCCTTGAACTTCGAAAATAAAACAAAAAAACCTCCTCCACAGTTTCTTCTGAAATGTCTAATGCTGACCAGCTTCGTAATTTCTCATTAATTATTCAAGTTTCCTTAAACATTTCGCATGAGTCCCAATAAATGAATAAAAAAAATATCATTAATTTCTGGCCAATAACACGTGCGAAGAACGCAAAGTCAGACAGCCAGGTTGGCGGCTAACATTTAATTATGTATGTATATATGTATGTATGTATGTACATATACCAAGGCGCGTGTATCGGCACACGTCTAAACAAATATGATAGCGCTAGCCCCCCACCTGAATGCCGCCGAAAAGTTGGTTCATCCAGAACTCCTACTTTCTAAAGTGGCACGCTTACCACAACTCTGGCAATGATATCATTTCAACGGCCAACAACTGCCTAACTGGCTTTTAGTTATTTGATTTATCACACCGATATATTTTATATTTTTTTGTGTTGTTTGGTTAATGACCTATTCATGAAGTAGCGAATCGAGCGGCAGCGCAACAGATGCTGCCAGAATCGAAAAAAAACCGTGGCGCAAAGGTGAGATTCACGATCGGTGAGAAGAAAAATGATTCAAGTTTTGCCCGTTACCCAGAAAGCGCTTAACACACGGAGGCGTTCAAGTGGCACCAGAGTGTCTCTTGATGCCAGACTGTTACTAAAAATAAAATGTGACGGGAGGTTTTCGGCGTTCGGCGGAGCACTTCAGACGAGGTTAATTAATCTTTTCGACGAAATTGCTTATCAATTAAAACAAGTTGCGGGCAGCTGCGCGCTTAAGCCTTAAGCGGTTGGCTGTTGCCTCGGTTTATCTGTGGGCCAACTCAATGTGAACGATAGGGAAGCTGCGCACGCTCGTGGCGAAGAAAGGAAAAACAATTGAATTAAATTAACCGATGTATATTTTATGCGTCGACTGCGAAAATGAAGGGAAGATAGAATCAAAATAATGCCCACATCTCCGTTCACTAGCGATTGTTCGCCGATTTCTATTGTCTATTTATTTAGTTTTTTTTGTTCACTCTTCGTTTTTTGCAAACAGTTCATTTTTTTTTTTAGCATATTCGATGGTCAAAAGCGAGATGAGTATTTCTCATCAAAAACTAAACCGTTTTTCGTATAAATACTTTCAGATTTGTTCAAGAACATCATTCTCGCAGATTAACTCTTTCGCAACGGTCTTAGTGTAGCTATCGAGTTATTGGCATCAAAATGAAATTGTTCGTCGCGTTTTTTGCCGTGATCGCGCTTGCAGCCGCCGTTAATGTGCCTACCAATGATTACTTGCCGCCTGCCGAAACAGTTGCATTTGAACAAGTCGCTGTAGAGCCACAGGAAGCTGCCGTCCTCGCTGATGATGGCTACCGTTACAAGACCGTGCGTCGTCTGAAATACCGCCATCGTCGTGATGTCAACGAGCTCGTCTCCAACGAATACTTGCCTCCAGCAGCCAGCGCTCCCGTTGCCGTTGCCGAGCAACAAGTTTTTGTTGAGCCACAGGAATCCGCCGTCCTCGCTGATGATGGCTACCGCTACAAGGCCGTGCGTCGTTTGAAATACCGCCATCGTCGTGATGTCAACGAGCTCCCCTCCAATGAGTACTTGCCTCCAGCAGCCAGCGCGCCCGTAGCTGTCGTCGAACAACAAGTATATGCTGCACCACAAGAATCCGCCGTCCTCGC